CCGGGACTCTTCGACAGATTTCTCCATTTTTCTAACTCACAGCCTAGAAGAGGAAAATGAATGAAATCATCCCTCCCATCTCACATACCCACAGACTCCGCAGAACAACTGAATTATTGTTCCTAAGCCTTGCCTCCCCTCGCCCATGATTCTTGGTTCATGTTGCAGCTCCTGACTTTTTAAATCATGTTTAATGAGGTTTAACTTCCTTACAGCAAAAATGGACCTTTTCTAAGTTGGATGCCCTTTGACAATTTAGTGTCATAGAGCCACCACCACAGTAAAGATAGAGTATTTCCATCACCCCAAAAAGTTCCTTCTTGTCCCTCTGCAGTCAATCTCCTCTGCTCTTCTAGTCCTTGGCAAGCAATGATCTGATTTCTGTCTCTAGAGTTTTGCCTTTACAGAACGCCGTAGAAATGGAACAAAAAATATGCAGGCTTTTGTGTCTGGTTTTTTCACTTAGCACTATGCCTTTGAGACGTGTCCATGTTGTTACTCCCATCAGTAATTTGTTCCTTTTTGCTGCTAAATAGTGTTCCACAGTATAGATGTACCAGGGTTTTTCCGTTCCACAGCTAATGGACATTTGAGTTGTTTCCAGGTTTTAGCTATTACTGTTAAGCAACAGTAATTTTTTGGCACGAAAGAGCTCTCTGCAAGAGACCCCTTTGGTCTTGTCACTAACCTTAAACCAGGCACCCCCACGCTCTACTCAGCCGCAGCCTTAGCGCAACTTTTAAATCTTTTGATCACACGATACCTTGCCGAACCTGTTGGTTTTCTGGTTTTCTCCATAAATCAAACAAGTAGAAATGGAGAATAATTAACAGATGACCAGATCTCTTCCCTGGCTTTCCCCTCAGTAACCTGGCAAACAATCTGTGTGAACAAGACAGCATCTAAAGAAAAGATCACGAGAAGTTGAGAAGCCCACACACCGTGGGGATGGCCTCACCTCTGACCCCTCATCTCAATGATTAGTTGAGATTACTTTCCTTTTTTCCCTTTAAAAACGTTCATGGCCGAGCAGAATCTTCCGAGATGGTCAGCTATTATGAGTAAAACTTCTCTGAACGTTTGCTAAAATATCTTATGTGGACACAGGTTTTCATTTCTCTTGGGTCAGTACTTAGAAGAGGGATGGCTGGACCAGGTAGCATCTAGCTTTCGTCCGCTAAGAAGAGCTAACACGTCTTGAGCACTAACTTTGCATCACGCAACGTTCTAAGCTCTTTACAGGCCTGACAATATGTAGATCTTAAAACAGCAATCAAGTGATGACTGGTCCCGTCTTACTGAGGAGGAAACTGAGGTGCAAGGAGGTCAGGTCCCTTGCTCGCCATCTCACCGCTAGTGGGTAGCGGAACCAGGATCCTCACACTCAGGCACTGCCCGGCAGAGCACAAATCATCAACCATTTCTGCCTTGCTGCCTCCCTCAAGTCAAACACGTCATGCTTGAGAGAAGTATCCCAGAATTCGACCTGACACTCTATGTCTTTTGACCAAAAATAGCCACTGCTGAGTGCACTCCTCTCCTCCTTAATTAAATCATGACAACGAGTACACAGGAACTCTCGCAGGGTCGCTGCAATAACGTGCCGTTTTGAGGTCAGAACTTTATAGGACATTATGAGGAAGTGCTTTTAACTGTGTCACAGAACTTTATAAATGTTAACTCACTGGTGTTTAATAACAACTCCAGGGGAAGCTACAGTCAGCCCTCCACCACCCGGCACATACTCATGGTTAATGACAAGGCTCCTCCGGAGATGTCTCCACTCTCACGACATAAGAGGCCATGTTTGGGGGAAAAATTCAAGGACTCTGGAATCAAACACATCTGGATGCAAATTCTGGCTCTCCTCCCTAGTGGAGAGGTGCATGCAGACCTCCTCACATGCAAAACCTGGTGGGGATGGGTCCTAATTCGCAGGCAGTCATGTAAAAATACTGAACACTGTATCTTACATATTTAATAAACCCTTCCTTTCCCTCCTTCCCTTCCTCTTCCAGAATATATCACTGAGCCTCTGAAATTAGTGAGAGAGAAGTTGGTTACTTAGCAAAAACCTTTACTGGTTTAATTTTTCACTGGAAGAGCAGCAAAGGAGACTGTTATGAGGTGGTTCTTTAAAATTTCTTATCTTAAAGAAAAAGTTATGCAAACTTTGCACTTTATTCCACAATATATTCAAAATCATTTTAATATGACAATGGTATACATTTACCTCCAGCTAAATGACTTAGCTTTCTCTGGAAATTTCAAAGGATATTTATTTCAGGAAGATTTCCACTGATAAATGGTGTCTTCGCTCACACTTACCTGCAATGTGAAGACTCCGAATTACAAACCATGAACCTACAAAGTCTTACCAAGACTTCAAAATGATCTCATACACTCAGGTCAATATTGGCTACTGTCCGCAATATTTTATCATCTCAACATCTACCTGACAATACAGCCCAGTTTGCAGTCCTGACTCCAAAAACATTTCACTCTGAATTCTCCAAACAAGAAAAATACCTACTTTCTGTTACCCCTATATGGAGCCTCCTGGCCACCTATAAATCATAGAGATACTGGCTGTAGTCTGCTCTCTGAGACTAAGCTCTGTTACGGCTACTAGAGTAAACATACACACTGTAAATTTGGAAACATTTTTCAGTTAACAATAAGACATGGTTACAAGCATGACCTTAAGTAAACTGGGATGACAGAAGAGTGGTAAGTTTTTTGTTGTTGTTGTTTTATTTTCAGTTTTTTATATATATATATTACTATATAATATTATATGTATATTACATATATATTTTTTCAGATTATTTTCCATTGTGGGTTATTACAAGATATTGAATGTAGTTCCCTGTGCTACACAGTAAATCCTTGTTGCTTATCTATTTTATGTATAGTAGTTGTATCCAATAATCTCATACTCCTAATTTATCCTCTCCCCCATCTCTACTCCCTTTGGTAACCACAAATTTGTTTTGCATGTCTGTGAGTCTGTTTATATTTTGTAAATACCTTCATTTGTAACAGTTTTTCAGATTCCACATATAAGCAATATCATATAATACCTTTCTCTGTCTGACTGACTTCACTTAGTATGATAATCTCTAGGTCCAGTCATGTTGCTATAAATGGCAGTATTTCTTTCTTTTTTATGGCTGAGTGGTATTCCATTGTGTGTGTCTGTGTGTGTGTGTGTATGTGTATATATACGTACATATATATATAAATACCACTTCTTCTTAAAACAATCGTCTGTTGATAGGCACTTGGATTGTTTCCATGTCTTGGCTATTGTAAATAGAGCTGCTTTGAACACTGGGTGCATGTATGTTTTCGAATCAGAGTTCTTGTCTTTTCAGATATATGCCCAGGAGTGGGATTGCTGGATCATATAGTAGCTCTAGCTTTTTTTTTTTTTTTTTTTAAGGAATCTCCATACTGTTCTCCATTACAGCGGCACCAATTTACATTCCCACTGACAGTGGAATGTTATTTGTTTTATATATTTAGGTGTTCCTGTATTGGGTGCATATATGTTACTAAGTGTTATATCCTCTTCTTGTATTGACCCCTTTATCATTATATAGTGTCCTTCTTTGTCTTTCCTTATGAACTTTGTTTTAGTCTATTTTGTCTGATATGAGTATTGCTACTCCCACTTTCTTGTCATTTCCATTTGCAGGAAATATCTTTTTCCATTCCTCTACTTTCAATCTATATGTGTCTTTCAGCCCAAAGTGAGTCTCTTATTGGCAGTATACTGTATGTTCTTTTTTTTTTTTCTGTTCAATCTACTACTCTATAACTTTTGATGGGAGCATTTAGTCTATTGACATTTTAAGTGATTATTGATAATACCAATGTTCACAGCAGCACTATTTATAATAGCCAAGACATGGAAACAACCTAAATGTCCATCAACAGATGACTGGATAAAGAAGCTGTGGGATATTTATACAATGGAATACTATTCAGCCATTAAAATGACAACATAATGCCATTTGCAGCAATATGGATGTCCCTGGAGAATTTCATTCTAAGTGAAGTAAGCCAGAAAGAGAAAGAAAAATACCATATGATATCACTTATATGTGGAATCTCAAAAAAAAAAAAGACAAATTAACTTAAATATAAAACAGAAACAGACTCACAGACATAGAATACAAACTTGTGGTTGCCAGTGGGGGAGGGGGTGGGAAGGGACAGACTAGGAGTTCAAGATTTGTAGATACTGACTGGTATACATAAAACAGATAAACAAGTTTATACTGTATAGCACAGGGAAACATATTCAAGTTCTTATAGTAGCTCACGGTGAAAAAGAGTATGAAAATGAATATATGTATATTCATGCATGACTGAAAAATTGTGCTGTACACCAGAAATTGACAGAACACTGCAAACTGACTATAACTCAAAAAATTTTAAAAATACAGTGATTATTGATAAATATGTACTTATCACCATTTTAAACCTTGTTTTCCAGTGCGTTTTTTAGTTCTTTGTTCATTTCTTCTTCTTTTTGCTTTCCCATTTGTGGATTGACGGTTTCCTTTTGTATTATGCTTGCATTGTCTTCTTTCTGGTTTTTGTGAATCTGTTCTCTATTTTTGACTTGTGGTTACCCTGGTTTTCAAGTATGTTAACTAATAACCATATCTACTGGTTTTAAACGAATAGTCACGTTAAGTCCTGACCCACAGCACAGTAAGTGGTAGACAGGTAACAATAACCTTTGCTTTCAGAAGCTATTTTCAACAGCTAGTATATAAAAGTGGATTATTTTTAGCAATCCATGTGGGCTACTTGGTGAATAAAACGTTAGGGAACTTCAATTCAACAAGTATTATCTGGGCCCCTACTATATACCAGCAAGTTTCCAAAAGGACAAGAAAGATATGAGCCTTGTCCTTCTAGAGCTGACAGTCCGAAGAGAAAAGTAAGCAAGGACGTTGTTCAAACATAAAGGAAGGACATCTTACCCAGACTGGAAGGGAGGACAGTGTGAGGAGCCATTAAAGGCCTCTTGGAGGCAGGAACTTCACCTGAAGGATGAGGAGGCATCAATAAATACAACAAACAAATATAAGGGGGACGGGTTAGGCCACGGAAAGTCCAGTCGGAGGCATCAGACCGAAGTCCCAGATCTGCTTCTGCAACAGCCAGGATCTGACTTTGAGGAAGCCACTTGAACTTGCTAGTTCTCCTTTTCCTTATCTCTGATGTGGTACGGCTAGATTGCGTCAGTGGACCTTAACTCTCGCTGTGCATCAGAATCATCTGGGTGCTTTCTAAGAATCCTGGATACCTCCCCCTAGAAATGTGGTTTTAGTGGATGGGGCGGCAGGGTTTCTTGCAATAGCTTTCCAGGTGATTCTAGCCCGCAGCCAGGGCTGAGAACCCCTGGCTGAGAGGAGCTCTCAAGCCTGTGGTTCCTCAGTCCTGAGTGGCTAATAACATCTTCCCAGTGTAGGCTGCATTCCAGACAATTATGCAAGAATCTCTGGGGGTGGGACTCAGGCATCAGTATTTTTGAAAGTTCCCAGGCTGACTGCCAGTTGCAGCCCAGGTGGAGAACCACTGTCCGAGGCCCTCTCACGACTTCAGTTTCCTATAGGGCCGTTGAAGGATGGGAAAAGGAGGGAAAGGGAAGCACATAAGTTTCTCCCATGAGGATAAGAATACTTATGTCAAATTAAAAAGAGTGAATCCCAAAGCCACCGATTTTGATTTTTAAATAGAGCTGTACCACACAGTAGGGTTGATTTTGGACATACGCCTAAATCATGCTGATGCATGACAGGTAAAAAAACATCCATTCCAAAATGCTCTTGGTTCCAAACTGAGAACTCCATGGACCGCATCTATAAAATGACTCCATCTGGAGCGTGTTCTCGGCAATACTTAGAATCTGATTTGCATGGCTGACTGTAATACAAACATTACCTTCCCTACCTCCAAGGTTACTTAAATCCATTTATTAGGCAATGGTGAACTAAACAAACAGTAATTAGAAACAATCCAGACTACCTTTTAAATCTGCTGCTAAATTACATTTTTCCTGCATCAGAGCTCATACACCCAGCATGTCTACAAGCGTCATGAAACCAAAGCCTCAGAAATATTTACATGAATAAGGGCATAAGCTACCTCTGGGCCCTGGCATTGGATTCTGCAGGGAAGTAAGGGCTGCTTAAGAAGCGGGCTGTTCACTGCCGTTATTTCTCACATCTGGGTAAATAAAGCACTGCCCACAGGTGGTTAGAAATCCCAGGAGAAAATGAACTCTCTGGGGGTCTGGAAATGAAGAGTACCTCTGACAGGCCACCTCATTTCCTGAAATGAGTCAGAAATGAAAGCAATTCTTCAGAAAAGAACATGTGCACCATGGCGGGGCTTATGAAGGAATGCCAGTCGGTACCTGTGGCCGGGCGGCTGACCTGGGGCAGAGGGGAGGGCCTGGAGAACAGGGCTGCGGGACCACCGCACTGCACCTCGTCTCGGAGCTGCTGCTGCGAGCTTGGAGGGCCCGCCGATCCCCTGAGCAGCCGGGCAGCCTGGTCTCAGCTGTGCATCGCGATGAGCGGGAAGAATGCTCGCATTCCATTAGAAAGCTGGCCCCTCGCCAAGGGGCTGAAGCAGCCAGGAAGGACTCATGTGTCATTGTGGACACGGAAACAGCGATTCCTACATGCAGAACTACTTTACCTAACTAAAAATAGTCTGTGCCTGTTGATTCAGAGGCCTCTCTTCCTGCGGAGGAAGGACTGCTGTAGAGAGATGACCTCAGGCCGCCCAGGGAAGCCCTACCTTTCCCAGTGCGCAGGAAGGGCAGGTCCTGGTGGAGGGGCAGGGGCTGCAGGTTAAAGACAAACACATCTCCCAGCAACAGCCCCAGTAGGAACCAACAAACAGGAAGGCGAGAAACAAAGGCTGCTTTCACCAAAACCCAACGCCAGTTATTTATTTATTTTTGAGAAGGGACGTGGCATGTTTATTGATTTATTTAAAAAAAATTTTTTTTGGCTAGTTATTTTTATTAGGTGGCCTGTTACTATTCTTTCCATAATGGCTACTTAAAAGAGATCCAACCCCATTGTTTATAATGGGCGGGGAGGCTGGAAACAACCTCCATGCCCATTCATAGATGACTCGTTGAAATCTGCTACATACGCAATGGAGCATTACGTAGTCATGCAATACAGAGCGTGTGCGGATACACAGAGATCTGTACTCTGTATACTCTGTATGATACATTAAGACACGAGAGAAAACCGTGCCTGGACTCTGTAAACATTTATGTAAATGTATTTAGAGAAGCTGCCTTATGCAGAGGGAGGGGGTGAGTTCAGCATCATTCTTCCTTCAACATCCTCAGCGCAGTCTGAAGTACCTTTCTGTTACCTGCCACCCCACCGCTGCTACCTAACAGTAACTAGGAAGGCCATTTTTGGTTTCTTCTCTGTACTAGTCTCTCTCTGTGTAATTTAAAACAAATGACCATTATTTTAAATAGATGCTATGGGCTGAACTGTTTCTCCTCAAAATTCATATGCAGTAGCCCTAACTACCAGCGCCTCAGAATGTGACTATATTTGGAGATGAGCCTTTAAGATGATGAAGTTGAAATGAGGCTGTCAGAGTGGCCTAATCCGATCTGATTGGTGTCCTTGTAAGAAGTGGAAGTATGGACACATGGGGAGACCTCAGGGATGTCTGCACGCAGAGGAGAGGCCATTGGAGGGCACAATGAGAAGGGGGAATCCACAAGCCAAGGAGAGAGGCCTCAGAGGACACGAGACTGGCCGTGGACTTCCAGGCTTCAGAACTGTGAGAAAATAAATTCTGTTCTTTAAGCCGCTCGGTCTGGCATTTTGCAGGGAAGTCCTAGCGAATAACAGTACATGCAGACCTTGTTTTGTTGCGCCTCACTTTGCTATGCTTTGCAGGTACTGTCTTTTTTTTTTTTTTTTTTTTTTTACAAATTGAAGGCTTGTGGAAACCCTGCATCAAGCACGTCTATTGCTGCCACTCTTTTAACAGCACATGGTCATTGCATGTCTCTGTGTCACATTTTGGTAATCCTCACAGTATTTCGAACTTTTCCATTATTATTACATTTGTTATGGTGACCTGTGATCAGTGATCTTTGATGTTACTACAGTCATTGTTTTGGTGCAACAAAAATTTGCACCCACATAAGACGGCGAACTTTGTGTGCACTGACTGCTCCACTGACCGGCCATTCACAGTCCTCTCTTCCTCTCCCTGGGCCTCCCTGAGACACAACGATATTGAAATTAAGCCAGTGACTAACCTTACGATGGCCTCTAAGTGTTCAAGTGAAAGGAAGGGTCAATCACTGCAGCAAACTTCACTGTTGTGTTATTTTAAGAAAATGCCACAGCTCCACCCCCCAGCCTTCAGGGACTACCACCCTGATCAGTCCACAGACAGTCATCCACATCAAGGCAAAACCTTCCACCAGCAAAAAGATAACAACTTGCTGAAGCTCAGATGATGGTCAGCATTGCTTAGCAATAAGGTATTTTCGAATAAAGGGATGTACATTGGGTTTTTTTTACACATAATGCTATTGCACACTTAACACACACACTATAGCACAGTAGAGTGTAAATGTAACTTTTATATGCACTTGGGAACCCCGAAACGTGTGACTCGCTTTACTGTGATGCCCGCTTCATTGTGGTGGTCTGGAACACGACCCGCAGTACCTCCGAGGTGCGCTTGTATGTAAGTAAGGAGAAGGATGCAATTCAACTTATGGAGTGTGGAGAGAGGCATTCAAAAACGTCTTCAGCGGGTCAAAACCCCACTCTGTCTGCCGTGATGCAGACAGCCTCATCTGGCATGTGAAGATGTTTGGGCTCACGTGCTTCTGACTCAATCCGGGTGACCCCACTTAGTGGCGTGAGCAGGACTAGAACAGGTGACCTCCCTCAGCCAGGACTCAGTCTTCCCATGCCTCTTATCTATGATGGACTTTCAAACCAATCCTGTGACTCGAAGGGCGAGCGCCCGAGATCTTTTATTAGTGTCTTTTAAAGGCTTGGCTTCTCCCATTCAATGTCTTTCTTTCTATGCTGATTACTAATGAAAAAGAAGGTGTAACCATAATTTTATTGATTCAATTAAAAAAAAAAGATTTGGAACAAGGGTTTTTTTTTTTAATCCAGAAAAACAAACAGTATGCTATAATTATGCACCAACCTAATTTTTCATACTTTAATATACGTGCTCACAAGCCACAGATTAATATACTAAAAGTATGGTAGTCCAGAGTGAAAATTTCTTTATGAACTTTCATAGATTTTTACAAATTTATCAATCCTCCCTTTAAAAATTAGAGTGTAGAGATCAATGATGTATTAAAAACCACAGACTTTACCTGCAGAATCTATAACCCAGAAGTGAGCGAAGATTCAGGCACACGAAAAGACCAAAACTCGAAGATACGGGCTAGGAGACATAAGCCATTGGGTGTAAGACAGGCTCAAGGATGTATTGTACAGCATGGGGAACATAGCCAATATTTTGTGCTAAATGGAAAGTAGCCTTTACAAATTGTATACAAATTGTTTTATAAATTTACACGTATTTGTAGAGTGAATACATTAATAAAAGGAAAAAGTCAAAGACTGGAAAAAAAAAATCTGAAGACACATATTGGGTACAGTCAGTTCAGGCTACACTCAGAGGAAGGCAGAGTCATCTTTGCCTTCAATGGCTGGGGAAAGTTTCAGCCTAGGCAAGAGCTCTAAACCAGCCTGGGATCAGACACACAAAGGTTAAGGAGAAGTGCCTTCTGTCCAGTTCTGTCTTGCCACTGAGCATAAAGGTCTGAAGGCAAGAACTGTGCACCTAAGATCCTGACAGAGTGCCTGGCAAACAGCAGCGTGTGCCCGTATCGGGGGGTGGGGGAGGAACAAGTGGGAAAGGACACGGTGTGTTCACTGGAGGGTAGGTCTGTAGTGCAGGGTCTTGTAAGGAGGCCGTGGATATAAAGTTAAAGAAGTTGGGGTCGAATTAATCTGTGACAAAGGAGGCAAGAATATACAATGGAGAAAAGACAGCCTCTTTGATGAGTGGTGATGGGAACACTGGACGGCTACATGTAAAAGAATGAAATTAGAACATTCTCTAACACCGTAAAAAATAAATTCAAAATGGATTAAAGACGCAAACGTAAGACTGGAAACCATAAAACTTGAAGAGGAAAACATAGGCATAATACCCCTCGACATAAATTATAGCAATATTTTTTTGGATCTGTCTCTAAAAACAAAGGAAACAAAAGCAAAAATTAACAAATGGACCTAATTAAATTTAAAAGCTTTTGCACAGCAAAGGGAACCATCGCCAAAATGAAAAGACAGCCTACTGAATGGGAGGAAATATTTGCAAATGATATGGCCGATAAGGGATGAATATCCAACACATATAAACAGCTCATACAACTCAACGTCAAAAAACAAACAATTAAAAATGGGCAGAAGACATTTTTCCGAAAAGGACATGCAGATGGCCAATAGACGCATGAAAAGACGCTCAACATCACTAATCATCAGAGAAATGCAAATCAGAACTACAGTAAGATATCACCTCACACCTGTCAGAATGGCCATCATCCAAAAAAAAACAAAAGGCCTCAGCCTCCTAATCCACAAAATGGGCATCATGTAACCCATCTTCATAGGGTGGTGTGAATACTAAACTGGACCTAACACATGGCCTAAAGAACTTAAGAAATATAATTGCTATGATTATCATAGTTGCCATTCCACACTGAAAGACAGAGAAGGCAATGAGCAAGAGACCACGTGTGCGGTGCAGATCCAGGGTCCCCGTGGGCTCTCAAGTCCCTTAAACAGGCTGCTGTCTGTTTTGGAAGTGGAGTGCCCTGCATTTATTCCATAGTTCTCCAGCACGTAATACCTCAATACAGTACACCCAACACAGGAAAATCAGATGTCTAATATGATCTTCAAAATCAAGATACTCCTATCGCTTCTCGGCCTTTTGGCTAAGATCAAGTGCAAAATCAAGATAACTCCAAAATCAATTTTTATGTTGCTTTTGTATAAAAGTAACTATCCAGGTTAATGTTAATCAGTTTTGAAACACTAAATTAATAGACTCAGCCATAAATCCAGGAAAACCATTTTCATGATGAAAATTACCAAGGCCTTTTTAATTAAGGATGGAATTGCCAACATAAAAGACTTTAGATAAATGAGGAATTGTTCCTTTCTCTCATAAATGAAAAGACCTGATAGCTCTGTGAATTACTTTTGAGATACTGATTACCAGAAATTGTTTTGAATCTAAACTACAGGATTTTCCAACAGCATTATAATCACTTCGTGCTGGGGCTGGCAGCCTCAGACCAAATTCAGTGCTCTGGCTTTTTAAGTTCCTTTTTCTAATTATTATCAGAGGGCTCATGGTCCTATTTTTGGGGTCATTATGTAGATATAAGCTCTACTGAACATAACAGAACTTTGTCTAACACAAAGCAATGCTAACTTTTTTTGTGGTGGTGGGGGTGGTCAATTTGACCTTGGAAGGAGAATTTATTACACATAAAAAAGTATACGCACATTTACATAAATACATACAGGTGTATTCATGACAAAGCTTGACCGACTAATCGTTATCTGATACGAAATTAACACATCAGAGATCTGTGCTAATATTCCTACTGTCAACCTACATTCTCTATTTAAAAACTGTTTACTCTTTGGCCCTGAACCAGGTTTCTACATTCACTATATCACTGGAGGGTATATTACTTCTTAAAATTAATTTAATGACACCTGCACCCCAATGTTCATAGCAGCATTATTTACAATAGCCGAGACATGGAAACAGCCTAAATGTCCGTCAACAGATGACTGGATAAAGATGTGGTATATTTATACAATGGAATACTACTCAGCCATAAAAACTGACAACATAATGCCATTTGCAGCAACATGGATGCTCCTGGAGAATGTCATTCTAAGTGAAGTAAGCTAGAAAGAGAAAGAAAAATACCATATGAGATCGCTCATATGTGGAATCTAAAAAAAAACAAACAAACAAAGCATAAATACAAAACAGAAATAGGCTCACAGACATAGAATATAAACTTGTAGTTCCAAGGGGGCGGAGGGTGGGAAGAGATAGACCGGGATTTCAAAATTGTAGAATAGATAAACAAGATTATACTGTATAGCACAGGGAAATATACACAAGATCTTATGGTAGCTCACAGAGAAAAAAATGTGACAATGAATATACACATGTTCACGTATAACTGAAAAACTGTGCTCTACACTGGAATTTGACACAACATTGTAAAATGATTATAAATCAATAAAAATGTTAAAAAATAAAATAAAATAAAATAAAAATTCAAAAAAAATTTAACTGATTAGGCCAGAGCCAAGAGAAACTTTCCAATAAACAATGAGGCCAAGATGCAGAGTGCAGTCAGCAGTGAGACACATTAGCAGGCGAAATAAAGAATGTGAAAACCAATATATGTATGAACACGCATGACTGGGACACTGTGCTGTACACAAGAAACTGACACATTGTAACTGACTGTACTGCAATTAAAAAAAAAAAAAAACTAGCAGGCTAAGAACGCAAGCACATCAGCGTATGTGGTGCCTGTCGATCGATGTTGGCCAGCACAGATGTGTATTCAACACTGAAAATGAATAACACCGTAGAAGAAAACAGCAGAGAACAAAACCAGGAATTTACAAGTGGGAAGAAGAAAATTCCTGGAAGGAGAGGAACAGAGGCCAAGCAACACGGGGAGGAAAAGGTGCGACCACCAGACAGACCTTGGTTTACTCAACTGGTTTCCTTCAGAATGTTTCTTAACTTCTCTAGGCCTCAGAAAATCTTTACCTGTGGTCTGAACAGGGCAGCTGCTATGATATCCAACAGTCTCTTCCAGTCTGGATAATAAACCAGAAGTTTGTTTCGATGATAAACAGATACTTTTTAAAAACTTTTAATAGGCTACTTTTATTTCACAGTGGGCTTCATGCTCACAAATCTGGAGTTTCCCAGAACGGAGCCAAGCTTGTCAGCCTACGCGTGGAGCACAGCCAGAAGCATGAGTCAAACCAAAGCCTCTGAAATCAGTACAAACGGCTAGACAGCTTGAACATCACCTGCACCACAATGTCCACCTGGGCCACCATCCCTTTTCCTCTGCCCTCCCGAGCTCTTCCCAGGTGGATACACTCATTACTCAACCCCAGTGCCTCCCATAATCCTGCCAAATGCAAGTGAGACACTCGTCTATAAAAAAGTTAGGACTCATTGGGTGTAACAGGCAATGAAAGTGGTGGCGGCTCCTAACCTTGAGAACAGCACAGTGGATAACCACCACCAGTGTTTGGAGAGGGTACCTCTTACTGCCCTGTTTACCGTGAGTAATCCAGCAATTCTGCTTTTCAAAAGCTTCATAAAATAACCTGAAATGTGAACAACTAGTTGTACCTACAGTTACAGCTAGTTATCTCACAGTATTATTTATAACAGCAAGATAACCTGCTCCAGGCTAGATCTGCAGTAATCAAGGGATGATTACATAAACGGTACCCAAGTTAGGCTCGCTTCCTGAATGCTCCTAGCCCCTGTGCTCACGCTGTGCAGGACTCACACTGCCTGCTTATGAACAATCCCATCACCAGATTTAAGGTCCTAGAGGAGGAAATTTAAGGTCACCACATTTAAGGTCCATGGTGAGCACAAAACTAGTTATCTGTTGAATGTTTGCTAGCAAATGTTTCCAAGTAAATTCTGTATAGTGGAGTACTATGCAGCTATTAGATGTGGTTTGTGAAGTCCCTATTAAGCATAGGGACTGCTGATGATGAAAAAGTCCTGGAGATAGAGAGTGTTAAATGTACATAATGAATCTGTACATTTGAAAATGGGTAAAATGGTTAATTTTATGTTCTGTATTTTTTACAATGAAAAATAAAATAAACATTAGGGAATTCTTAGGAGGCAAGTTAACTGAAAAGACAGGATACTGTGTATTTTCAGTTTACTATGCAAAATCATGAATTTTTAAAGGCTAGAAAGAAGCACACTAAGATATTCATGTTTGGTTTATCCTTGATTTGTAGGCTTAGAGGTGATTTTTGTTTTATTTGCAATTTTCCATATTTTCCAAAATCTCTACAATGGCCCACCTTTAGTCATCCTTTAATATCCACCAGGGATCGGTTCCAGGACCCCCCCACAGATACCCAAATCCATGGATGCTCAAGTCCCTTATATAAAAATGACTGCATACAACCTACACACATCTCCTGATACTTTAAATTATCTCTGGATTACTTATAATACCTAATACAAGGTAGATGATATGTAAATAGTTGCTGGCTCCTGGCCAATTCAAGTTTTGCTTTTCGGAACTTTCTGGAATTTTTTTTTCCCAAATAGTTTTGATCCACGGTTGGTTGAATTTGCAGATGCAGAACCTGTGGATAGAGAGGGCTGACTGACTGTGCAACGCTTACAACCAGAAAAAGGGACGGCACAGCAGATGTCTGGGATGGGAAGGTGTGGTTACCAACAGGTTTAATCTGAACAGGAATCACTCCCCTTGCTGTGGCTCCTTCATGTACTTGTGTACTGCACACCATCTGTGCTTGCCTTCACTGCAGAGATAACCCAAAGGCCTGCCGCTGGAGTCAAAATTTTATTAAACTGAAATGTTTTTTTTTGTTTTGTTTTGTTTTTTGCTATGCCAAAAGCATGCATCACACATTTGCTATCCCAGACATAAGGCTTTGTCCAGGCTGAGAAATGGCAATCGAAGGTTGTTTTGGACATAGAGGTGCCAAACTGGATCAAATGCACAGTTATTCTCAGAGGCAAAGACTTTCCAGACCTGGGAGGGACCGGTCTGGAACGCCTCATAGAGAACGAGGCATCCAGACGGCCTCAGTAAACACTGGATTCATCACATTTATGGATCTGCTGGAAGCAAGGCCTTTGGAGTCACACGGACTCAGGACTGAAGTTACACATGACACAGACCTAGCACTGCCACCTGTGACTGTCATCTGGGGTGCTCCTGGCCTTGGGTTCCCCACAAGTAAGTGACGATAATATCAGCCCCTTGGCTATTAAATGGAATGATGTTTGCAAATCAGAGATGCAGGAAAAGCCAGAGCCTGTTGTCATAGGTGTTCAACCAGCATCACTGGCTTCCTTCCCCTCCCTTCTGCAGCTCAAATGTCTGATCCGGGAAAGCAACAGCATAAGTGACTTGAATGATGAAAATGACCAACTGTCTGTAATGAATAACGCTAACGCGGACAGGAGTACAAGAAGGTATTTCAACAATCTTTTAATTTATCCAACTCAACTCGGAGGCCCTTATGATACAGTTGAAAACAATCTTCCTATCCTTTGTTCCTTGGTCATAGGAAAATACCAGTCACTAGTCTCTGTGCATTTCATCCACCTGAGACCCTGAAGCTACCCTTCACTTTGTTCTTCAGTGTCCCCATTTTTTAAATCTTTCACTCCTTTAACCATGTTTGTGGCTCCTCCGAGCCCTGGGCAAGTTCCCCCCACGCTGTTAGCAGGGGGCCCTCCCGACTCCTCTGAGCAGGCCTGAGCTGCGCTTAAGGCAGGCACCTGGTCCACGCATCCCAGCATGGAGCTTTGGAAAATACAACAAATCGCTATGCTTCTGAAGGTTCCTAGACTTTGGGCGTCTGATGGGGGGCGGGTAGGTGCTCCCGAAACAGATCCAAGTGTGACCGGCAGTGCCCTCCACATCTGCTTCCGTAACCTTTGTCTTTTGCTTTGCCTGGTCGCCACCAACATACTTTAGCAAGCTGATCGCTTCGGAGATTGCATCAGATTCGAGGCTGCGTCAAATCCCTCCCTTCAAACGGGCAGCCTCTATCTTTACGGAAGATCTGCAGCCTTCCTTGATTAGCTCTTTTACTTATGTGCCTCTCTGGGTCAAGGAGGAAAGGAACCAAGCAAAGGATGATAGAAATCTGCAGCTGTTTGGGGTTTCCTTTGTGCAGGCTGAACTATAGGCACCCCACTACCTTCTGGCTAGAAAGCTCGAGTGCATTCCTTCAATAAACATGTCCTGAGCCCTGCGCTAAGTGCTGGGTATTCAAAAACAAGGTCACCCCAGTGCAATATGTTCCAGAACAAAGGTGCGTACAGGGTATCATTATAGCAGGGGACACTGGGTCTCTCCCTGGACAGGGTTCGAGGAGTCGGGTAGTTCACAAATCTCTTGCTGGTCACTGAGGAATGAATGAGCTGACCCACACTGTCCCTGGGGACATTAATGCCATTGCAGTCTTTTGTTGTTGTTTTTGAATTGAAGTATACTTGATTTACAACGTTGTGTTAGTTTTTGATGTACAGCACTGTGATTCAGTCATTGCAGGCTTTTAATGCAGTCTCTCTAATCCCATTGGCCTCCACCACTCATTGCTTCGGTTACTGTACCTGCTTTCTTGTTCTCCTCACATACCCGCTTCCTTATCTGCAGAATAAAACATATGTGCTTCCATTCTCTTCCCATTCTTTCAACCCCACAATGTTTCCTGCCCTGGAGGGTTGCTCTGACTATCAGAGAAAGACCACTGGAATGGCTTAGGTAGAGCCAACAAAGAGGCAGGAATGAACCTGCTTGATGCAAGGAGCTAGAAAAACATGCGGAACCATTCTAAGCAGTGCTAACTGTGACCAGGTCTCCAGTGGCCCCAGCATGTGAGTCACCGCCCTGTGGATGCTCAGGGGCACTCCCATCAGCTCCATCTGGAGACCATCTATCTTCAAATCACTTTCTGTCCTCCACCCCTTGCCTCACCCATTTCCACTGGTATAATATTTGTCAAGAGAGTGGTTGTTAACCTTTCATAGGCCATGCAGCTCTTTGGGAAATTGTGGTGAAATTTAAGGACCCTCTCTCTAGAAAAAATCTCAGAAGCACAGAAACAAAACGTATACAGTTTCTGGGGATTCGCCAACTCCTGAAGCCCATACATGGAACACCAGGAGGGGACATGCCGTTCAGCTTGAGTATCTTTTGAGCTTCTACCATGTGCTAAGCACTTTGGAGACCCCGACTCAAACTCAACTCGTCACCGTTCTCAGGGCCGTTCTCCCACGCCCAGCCTGGAACACTGGTTCCCACTTCTCTGCCCAGGAGACACCTTCGTGTATTTACGTGCCTTTCTCCTCCCACGAGATTATAAGCAACCTGAGGGCACGGACTGTAACTTAACCATCTCTTATTTCCAGCTTCTAGTAAAGTTCTCATTCTGGAGAAACACAGCCCACTGAGGGAAACAGACGCAAAACCAGATCATTTTTTAACACCAAGGTCCTAATGCTCAACCTGATGGGCTGAGTGATTTTTAAGCTAAATCTTAAAGGAGGAGTGCTAATAAGTGAGAAAAAGTTAGGAGTGGACACGATAGATGGAGGGGCAGGCAGGCAGGCAGGCAGGAAACAGCGGGTACCAGGAATAAAGTAATTCAGGACTCATGGTGACCAGAAAGGCAGGCAGGAGCAAGCTCTCAGAGATGACAGAGGAGCAGTAAAGACGGAAGAAGCTACGAAGGGCACTCCAGGAGGTGGAGGATGCTTGAATTTACTTCGTAAAAGAATGAAGTCACTGAAAGCCTTTTCTTTCTTCCCTACTTGAAAAGTAACAGATGACAGGTGTAGAAAATGGGAGAAAAGTCATAAACACTTATAACCCCACCATGCTGAGACCACCCCTATCACTAGCCTTTCATCTTTACAGATTACATAAACACGTACACAGGTGTGTGTGACACTGGTTTTCACGCACCTTTCATCCAGCTCACGTTTATTAAGCATTTGCTACATATCAGACATTGTGCTAAATACGCTACACACATTCTGTCATTATGTCATTTAATACTCACACAAATTCTTAGAGGCAGTTTCTATAGTAATGCCATTTTAAAGAGGAAAACATAGTAAAGGTTGGGGGTGGGGGGTAGTATGTTCAAGACCAACCAGCTAATGGATGTAGCAGAGCTGAGAGTCAACATCAAGTTTTCTCACTGCAAAGACCACACTTTTACGCCTCAGTTGTTCTTACTTATTCTCACTCATTTAATGTATAAGATGAGTGTGATCATTTTATCCAGTTTTCTCATAAAAACTTCTTTGGGATCTTGATTAGCATTGTAAGAAACCGGAAAAACAAACCTAGGAAGCAAGAGGACTTGACTACTGTCTCCCCAGACAGGGAGGACCCCAATCCCCAGCCACTGACTTCAACCTTCTGCAGTCTCAGTAAAGCCTGCCGTTTTCTTCCTTGAAGGCTTGTAAGCTTATTAGGAGGGTGACATGTTCAGATACACCTGGTGGACAGATGAATCTGGCAACAGTATGAAAAGGTGGGTGTGAGAAGACTGGAAGGCTGAAATACACACTAAGAGATGTGAACGCAGTCCACGTGAGAGACACGGAAATCTAGGACCGAGGCAGTGATATTTGGGATGGAGGAGGAGCGAATGGACTCAGAAAACACAGGAGACGGAATTTAAAGAACTGGATGTGGAGGAAAAGTAGCAGCAAGGTGACGTGAGGAGATGGAGGAGGACGGGGAAGGTGGGTGGGGGGTGTCATTCACTGGGAGAGGGGCCACCGGAAGAGATGCGTTTTTCAGTGTGTGCATTTTGAGGTGTGGAATAATGAGTCTGATTGTGAACATCAGGTCACTGAACACACTCGGAGTGCCTACTTTATGCCAGGTGACTTGCTGGATGCTGGGGGAATCAGCGCGGACCAGGCTGAGGAGGTCACAGGCCAGGGTGGAGTCAGGTTAACAGAGCGAATGAGAACTAAGGAAGCACAGAGGGGAATGCGTCCTGGTGGAGATGGCCCGGAGGAGGGTCTGACGGCCACAGGTTGGCCAGACCCCATAAACTTCAGGTGGGCACGAGAATGCCCTCAGAAAGCACGTACACGGATGGAGAAGAGGAGTGGACGCAGGTCGGCGCTCTAAATAACATCAGGGCTTTAAGTCAAGCAGCGGAAACAGGAGACTAAAAAGGACCATCAGACACAAGAGGACGGCCAAGAGAGCCCAGAGCCAAGAGAGCCCAGATTCCAGAAGACAAGAGGAGAGCAGAAGGAAGCAGAGCCCATCCTGAGACCATCTCACCCTTGGACTTTTCAGGAAGAATGATTGTTTTTTTTTAACTCAAAGGTCACTCCGTTGACTTTAAACGTTAAACAGAATCAGAGAAAAAGTCCATGATGAGGATAAGAATTTATATCCCCTGGCTGCCTCTCAGAGCTTTATCCACCAGCCATATGGAGTTGATGATTAATATTCAGCAGGAAGTGAATTTATAATCACGAGCCTGCCATTCAAATGTGAAGAGAAATGTTTTCTGCTCAGTACACCCAATAATACATTAATGTCTCTCCAGTTTAAAATACATTTATGAATAATTTTATACATTTTATAAATTTCCTGGCAGGAATGATAATAGAACAATCTATTTTCACTGCTATGTGAAACAAAAAAGAGGATGGAAAGGTTCAGTTAATCAAGGAAGTTAATATGCTTTATAATAAATATCAAACAGTCATTACTTGGGTGATACAAAGGGTGGCTGAGGTCAAAAGATGATTATAATAACAAGAGTTTGTGCCCATATTTATTCTCTGTCAGTTGCTTACATTTGCATAAGAAGTTTCCACTACTCATGAATTTTTCACATTAGAATGCTAGAAATCAAATTTGTTTTTTGATTTATATATAGGTA